GGGATGGAGGGGGGGGTAATGTGGTGGCCCTACTTTTACTAAAGACCTCCTGGAGATTGTGATACACAGGGGGAACTCGAGAGAGATCAGGGAGTTCTTGGGACTTGGGAGTGGTGTCAGGGGAACTCGAAAAAATACAGGTGGCATGACAGGTGGGACCCCATTCTAGGACTGTGTTGGTGGACCAGTCAATATGGGGATTATGCTGCAGAAGCCAGGGGTGACCAAGGACTACAGGGAAGTTGGGAATCTGAATGAGATGGAAAACCATTTCCTCTTGGTGTTGAAAAATGGAAAGGTGTAGAGGGGATGTTTGATGCGTTATCTCTCCCTGGCCCAAAGGTTGTCCATCCAGAGCAGTAACAGCCAGGGGAAAGGGAAGGGATTCACAGGGAATACAGAGTTACTTAGCCAAGGAAAAATCCGTGAAATTTCCAGCCGCACCTGAATCCACCTAGGCCTGCAAGGAATGGTATGATAGTACCAGGAGAGTGTGACTGGAAGAAATAATCCTGAATTGGTGAGGGGAGCAGTTAGGGTAGCTCCTGTCACAGACCTGCCCTGTCTGCACGGGATGGGGCTTTTCCCGAAAGCTCAGGACAGGCAGCTCGAAAGTGCCCCGATAGGCCACAACAAAGGCAGCGTTGCTCCCTCATGTGACGGTCACGTTCAGCAGGGGGAATCCTGGTACTTCCCAGCTACATAGGTTCAGGGGGTTCTTGGAAAACTTGAGCCAAAGGGCGTACAGGTGTTGAGCTGACGAGCTTACGGCTACACTCTCTCTCTCTCTTAGCCGATTGTCCAAGCGGATGGCCACATCTATGAGGACCTCGAGACTGTCAGGTGGGTCTCTGGTGGCAAGCTCATCCTGGAACCATTTTTTTTTTTTGCTTAGTGTGAAGAAACTGTTAGTAATCTAAAGAACAATCATCCACTATAAAGGATCTTTTGTGGAATGTAAAAGTTCCATGGATGTTAAAGATTCTTCATGAAACCATCAATGCCAATAAAGCTTTATTTTTGAGAGTGTGTGTAACAGGAATGCATACAGGACAAGGATTTTGGCTTTACACATTGATCTTTGTGTCATAGAAATGCAGATATCCAATTATTTCAAAATGACGTCTCGATATTATAGGGCTAGATCAGCTGCAGATCATCAGTGCAATACTTTTGCTTGGATTTACCCACCTTTGCAAAAGCAAATACATGCAAAGTGACCTATTGTCTGAGGAGCCGTAAGGGTTTTCAAAAACACGTCAAGCATTTGAGCCATGAGGTTTTATCAGTCTTGTGTTTAGGGTTTCCTTTGTAAAAAAGAAGCTTAAAATGTACATAAATAATATACTTTAAAAGAATACACTTAAGTGTGAACTGAATGTAATGTTTTTTAACACTTAACTGCATGTTATTCACCATTAAATTAAAATGTATTATATAGTTTAAATGTATAATAAATGCAATTAGCTGAACTTTAGAGTGCTGTCTGACCCACTTAAGTAAACTTGAGTGCATCTTTATATGTAATTTCATAATGAAAAATGTGAAGTGCACTACAGCATTTTTAAGCATGGGTATTTTTTCACAAGGGTTTGATTGGTTAATTTATCCTCTTAATTTAATTCACATTTCACATGGAATTTATTAGTTTTTCTGATTTTTTGACTGTCCTCAATGACATTTTGCAAGAGAGGAAATCCACTGCTATAGTAATGACCAAAGATGGTTTCATTTTAAATCACACTAAATAATTCTTTCTCTTTTTTGCCATCTGAACTTCCTCTTGCTTGACTTGTTGGTTGTGGCAGTCCCAGGTCACCCATTCATGTTCTTAAGGCATTCAAATGTTGAGGAATGCTTCATTTGACAATAAAAGACCATTCAAATGTTGAGGGATACTTCATTTGATAATAAAAAACCTTGTGTTGGCATTATAGTCATCCGAATGAACACAACACAGATTACATGTGCCACGAAGATTTAGTGTAGGCCAGGAGACTGTGACTAAATCGTCCTTTCAGTACTGGTCAATATTATTACTCTTAAACTGCTAAACTTTGCATTAACTCGATACACGTGATCAGTCGCCGCTCTAGGAGTAGTAGTGTTTATCAGAGATGCTCCACTAGCCGCTGGAGCTCAAACCCAGACACAAACCAGTCACAGAACCTCGCTGAGCTCCGTTTCCCATCTCTATTTTTTTATCTCCATTTTCTACATGATTGCAGGAGTCACTGTTGGGTTCGATTTCGACTCTACGGCCACCAGATCTTCTCATTACCTAACAGGGTTCTACACAACATAGCCGTCACATCTCCAGGACCTCAGCGAACAGTGAATTATTAAAGCGTAACAAGCCCCCTCTAGGGTTAGCATTGCTGTTGCAACTACCCTAGCAACCAACTAGCAATAAGCATTCTCTTAGCATCGCCCTAAAAAACTGTGAGAACACCTTAGCAAAGCATACAACAACCACTTTTATTAGCAACCACTTGGGATTACCCTACAAACCACAAAGTAACTTAAAAGCACTCAAACATGTAGTAAAAAAGCAACACTTATATAGTAGGCTACTCAAAACCACACAGAACACCTTAATGACACCCTAACAAACACTCCTTAGCAATCATATAGCAACACTCTGGCAACCACTCACACATTAGCAATAGCATCAACCACACATTAGCATTTTGGTGGCAGGTTTTCATTAGAAAATGTAAATATCTGTACTGTTTTACTGAGGCTGGATGGCCAAGTCTGTATGTTGCTTAAGCACATTGTGTATATAAATAGTATGAGTCCTTTTAAACACTTGAAATGTTTTAAAACACATCTGTAGGTTTACTATGTCCTGACCCGGCTGAGGTTAACCTCAACAACTCACAAACACGTAAACACAGTTCCTCTTATCACACGCGGCGTACACACAGCGGGGCAGATCAGCGGCTCAGCAGTAAATGAGCAAACGCAGGGCTTTGGGTGGCAGAACAGATCACAGGTGTGCTGACAGAACACAGCCACTGTCCCAGAGCTGATGAGTGCCGAGACAACACACACACACACAGATTTACTGCACAATAACATGCACAGCAGGTTGCATGCTAAGGGAATTAGTCCTACACATGACTGAACACATCCCAGGCACACTATTCCTGTTTATGACTGTAAATCACAGACAGTTGTTGTTTGTGATTACTGGATAAAGATTTTCAGAAATCACTCACAACTTACCAACTAAACATTTTATAGTCAATAAAATATTTTAGAACTGTTTATAACTAAAAATGTCATATGAAATTATTGTCATATTAAATTTCTTTCCCAGCCCTGAAATGATAAAAAAAAAAAATGATAAAAAATATGGCTTATTTATAAGGTGTGCTCCTTGTTTTCATTTGGTTGTATTTGATATAAAACTTAAAACTGTAAAGTGTATCAAGTACGAAGGGGTATATATAATATAAAGGAAGTGTGTTTAGAAGTGTGCTATATAGATCAAACACGTTTCAGAATCCATCCACTGAAGTCAATATTGCACTGAACCAAAAGTGTTTGACTGAATTTCCACTGCCACATGTTGTAGCGTGCTGCCCTCTGCTGGACATGAGCACTAAACTGCAAAGTGGAAAGATAGAGTACAAAAGCGAAGTTTGGATTGGATAGATAGATAGATAGATAGAGACAGACAGACAGACAGACAGACAGACAGATAGATAGATAGATAGATAGATAGACAGACTAATAAATAAATAAAACTCTGATTAAAAGATTATTTAATGTATTATTCTATACCAGTGCAAATAAGTAATATCAACTTTTTAAAAAACTGTGCAACTGTGCAGATATATATATATACCATAAAAATGTATTTTACGTAGAATTATGTACAAGTGTGTAATTAAATGTTTAAATATTACATAGTTAATAACCACATAAATTACTTCTGCTAAACCTCAATATATTGTGATAAATAAAAAAAATATAAATGTATATAAAGTAATATAATATATGATATAATATAATATAATAAAAACATATATTTTTACATACAAATATGTACAAGTGTGTAATTACAAGCAGCTTCGCAAAATATTTAAATATTAGCCTATAGTTCATTGGTATAGTTAGTACATGTTACTACACAGTAACAAGAACATTGTCATATTAAGTGTGACCATGAATGCTGAATATATTTAATGTTAACCCCAATATACTGTGATAAATCCATAATCTTATTTACATAATTCCATTTTATAGGCCTATAAATGCATAGCCAATAAACACAGAAAACAGTTATATTTTCCAAATATAATATAATATAACATAATATAATATAATATAATATAGATAGATAGATAGATAGATAGATAGA